ACCCTCCATAACAAATGCTTGTGTTAGCCCCCATCCCTTAGTCACCACCACCAGAGCCCCCAAGCACTAGACCCACCCCTGGAGCCCCCAGTACCTGCCCCACTGCTCTTGTGTAGTCCTGCACTACCTCCCAAGCTGCCAGCTGAGCACTGCTGTCCAGGTCAGAGCTGCTTTAAGGCTGCTGTGCAGGGTTCTGCATGACCCTTCTGCTGCGCAGCGAAACCACTCTTCTGCATCTGGGAAGAGACCCCCCCCCCTCTACCTGGCATTGGTTGGCTGAGTGGGGGGGCAAAACACGCCTCTCCCAACAGCCGCAGTGGGAGGGGAGGTGCTGGGCTAGGTACCCCAACCCTGGCCCCCAGAGCCACTGCAGCCAAGAAGCTAGCTGTTCACAGCCTGGCACTGCGCCATGGACCGACAGTTGGGAACTGCTGTTCTAACATCTTTGGGCAGATGGCCACCTGCTAACAAACTTATGACCAATCAAGCACTTTATCTTTCCTTCCTGATACTAGGTGAAAAATATTTTAGTCTAAAACTGCAGGATATTCACTGTTTTGTGTTTGCTCTATAAGTCTAACCATGGAAAATATCAGCATGCTACATTATCCTTTCCCACACTTCCATCATATTTTTCCGGGCATATTTCAGATCTTGTAATTGTTACCAATCAGTTGATGATTAATATCAACTCCTCCTTACTCCCTTTTCTTGTTGAGTCTGGAAGATGTACTTGGACTAAGCTCCCTCTGTTGCATTAATGAGACAAAGGAGTTTCCCCAGCAGCACCCTCTCCCCCATACAACCACATGCCTCAGCATAACCCACCTGAAATTTTGGCATCCCTTCCCCCTCCCACCCAAGAGAAAGTCCTATGTTACTCCTTTGCACCAGAAGCTGCTGTGCTGAGGCAGAGGGTCTGACTCTTGCTGCAGTCCAGATGTCCCAAACAAACTCCTCTCCCCTCTCCCCCCAGCCAATCTCACCACACAGATGCTCAGGGCTTGACAAATCGTTTATCTACTTGCCAGTGGTGAGTAGATTTCAGCCAGTCACCCTGTTCACTAGTGGTTCGCGCATGTGCAGTGCGGGTCTCATGCATGCGCGGTGCGGGGCTGGCGAGTGGTTTTTGCTGCAGCTTGTCAAGCCCTGCAGATGCTCACACTTCCCACCCACCCCCTGTTTCCCCTATCTACTCCTGTGCTCCTCCTGACTCCTGCCCAGCTGGGGGCTGGCAGAGATTTCTGTCTCTGAGTTGCAGACATCTGCAGCTGAAGCCTAGCTATGATTCAGAGGACATATCACAAAATCTCCCTCTCCCTCTCCACCACATACACACACCTCACCAATGCCAGCATCTGCCAACTCCCCATAACTCCCATCTACCCCATGCAGTCTTTGAGGAGGGTACTGGGTTTCTCACACAAGATGCTGTAATCCTAAGGAGTCTCGTCTCCTCCTCTCCTGGCTGTTGCAGCCCAGCTGGGAGACAGGATGCCCCAAACTCCCCTTCCCTCTCATTTCTCCCCCCCCCCTCCCCCCAGCCACTTACTCCCTCTCTCCTTTTGTCCCCTTTCTACCATCTGGGAGAGACTCACGGCTCCATCTTCAGCAGGGAGCTGCTGCTGTAGCTGAGAGAGAAGTGCCTCTCCCCTAGCCAGGCAGCTCCGTTCATGACAGCCCTGAGCATCTGGGCAGGGCATATTAAGCAGCTGCTACCATGCAGCCTTAAGGGAACCTTCGTGAGGATGGACAACACCACAGCAATATCAATTGACAGGATGGTGCTTGCACTGCTCCCCTGTGCCAGAAAGCCATCGCCCTATGGGACCTTTGCATTTGTCACAACCTTTACCTCCATACCTCCCAGGAATGCAGGACATCCTAGTGGGAAGTCTCAGCTAGTCCTTTCAATCCCAGGAGTAGTCCCTTAGGGGAGATGTTTTCCACTAATGGGGTCATCCCCAGGTGGACCTGTGTGTGACCTTCCTCAACAACGTGCTTGAAGTTCTGCTTCTTTCAGGACTACAGCCAGGAATCCATTTCAGATGCTTTCCACCAGTCATGGATGGAGCCAGGCCTTCTATGCATTTCCCCTTGTTCCGTTAATACCCAGCCCTTCTCAAAATTTGGCAGGATAAGCCTAATTCTTGTACAAAGTAACCATCCTGACGGGTATCAGAGCTGCAGGCCCTTATCTCTGAGCCTCCATACACTGTTTTAAAAGGATACGGTGTAGCTGTACCCGCATCTTGTCTTTCTGCTGAAGCTGTTGTTGCCTTTTCAAATCATTCAGGACACTTTTCTCCCTGTTTTTTCCCCAAAACCCTTGCCATGAACAGGGATAGAGCATTGCACTCCCTGGACATAGGATGTGTGCACCAAACCATTCCGTAGGGCCTATCGTCCTGTATGTATCAAGTTTTGCTTTGTTTTACTATCACTTGGCTAAGGTGCCAGCTCCACCATTCAGGATACATTCCATCAGGTACAAGCATCTTCAGCAGCCCTTCTGCCACAGGTTTCTGTTCAGGGTATCTGCAGGGTACCTGTGTGATCATCCAGGCACATCTCCATGGCTCATTATGCCATCACCCAGCAGACACAGGATGATGCTGCGATCAGCAGAGCTGTCCTGCACTCAGTAGCAAGTTGAGGTCTGACCCCTTCACCGTACAAACTGATGGTAAGTCACATATTGGAATGCATGTGAGCAATCACTTGAAGAAAGAATAGTTACTTTACCTTTTTGTAACTTATTCTTTGAGATGTGTTGCTCATGTCCATTCCAGACTTTCCCTCTCCTCTCTGATGCTCCAGCAACAAGGAACTAAGCTGGAGTCGTGTGTGTATCTATATGTCTATACATAAAAAACTCAAGGGGCATCACCATGAGGCAGCTGCTAAGGAAACTCTTCCGGTGATCATGCACACAGTGCATATACAGATACATATTGGAATGAATATGATCTGGAGCATTGCCAGCAGGTCCAGAAATGTCATTATTCCCCTTTATTCATCTTTGGTGAGGCCACATCTGGAGAATTGTGTCCAGTTCTGGGCCCCCCCACTACAAAAAGGATGTGGACGCATTGGAGAGGGTCCAGCGAAGGGCAACCAAAATGATTAGGGGGTTGGAGCATATTACTTATGAGGAGAGGCTGAGGGACTTGGGGCTGTTTAGTCTGCACAAGCGAAGAGTGAGGGGGGATTTGATAGCAGCCTTCAACTTCCTGAAGGGAGGTTCCAAAGAGGATGGAGAGAGGCTGTTCTCAGTAGTGACAGATGGCAGAACCAGGAGCAATGGTCTCAAGTTGTGGTGGGAGAGGTCCAGGTTGGATATTAGGAAAAACTATTTCACGAGGAGGGTAGTGAAATACTGGAATGGGTTACCTAGGGAAGTAGTGGAGTCTCCATCCCTAGAGGTGTTTAAGTCTTGGCTTGACAAAGCCCTGGCCGGGTTGATTTAGTTGGGATTGGTCCTGCCTAGAGCAGGGGGCTGGACTTGATAACCTTCTGAGGTCTCTTCCAGTTCTGTGATTCTATGATCTTCAAGAACAACAGTTACAAATAAGTAATTGTTCTTTTCTCAAGCCTTTACTGATTTTTATTACACGTACATGCTCGCTGGGAGTGGCTTTATTGCTATGTATAATGGATAGCTAATTTAATCATATGCCTTGATCATATTTGTTTAATCCAAAAGCCCTGCACCCTTTTGCACCAAGTCTTTCCACTAAACTTGGGCAACTCTTGTTTCCTTAAGATGTGGGTATGAAATCTTTTTTTAATCCAGCATCATTGAGCGACAGGGGAAAAAAAATCATGAACCACACCCAGACCATAGGGGAGCTCAAAGCCTTGCAGCACTCTGGCTTCCTGCAGTGGGGTCAGCTGGTACTGGCAGCTACTCCCCCATAGCGGATTATGGTGGGGCTGGACATGCGGGAGTTGGGGGAGGGAGGGGGTGCAGGAAGAGGTGAGGGTGCAGGCTCTGGGGTGTGGGGATGAAGGGTTTGGGGTGCAGGAGAGGGCTCTATACAAGGCTGGATTAAGCGGGGAGGGCTAGCTGGGCAGCTGTCTGGGATGCCAACCTATGTGGGGCGGTTGATGGCAGCTGTAAGGGGTGCTGCGTGCCGCCCCTTAGAGCTGCAATAAGGTGCAGCGCCCGATCGCAGCTGTAAGGTACACAGCGTGCCGGAGGGTGCAGCTGCGTGTGCGTCGTGCGCCATGGGGTGGAGCTGCGCATGCGTTGTGTGCCCGCTGCCTGGGGCACAGGAATGGCTCGAGCCGGGCCTGGCTCTATATGGTGCATGCTGCCCATGCCTACAGGCTTTGCTCTGTCAGCTCCCATTGGCTGTACTTCCCAATGGAAGTTGCAGAGCTGGCACTGGGGTGGGGAAGCATGCAGAGAGGTTCCCTGATCACCTCACCCCTAGGGCCCACAGGGACATACTAAGGCTTCCAGTCCATGGTGTGGAGATTTGCAGGGGTCCAGATGAAATTAAGCAGCAGATGCAAGGTGGGGTACCTTCACTCAGACATTCAAGATAGTAATTTTTCACTTAAGGTACATCTACATTTGCTCCCTAGTTCGGACTAGGGATGCAAATGCAGACAAGCGAAGTAGCTAATGAAGCTGGGAGTTAAATATCCCGTGCTCCATGGCTGCACGCTAGTTCGAATCACAGCTGATTTGAACCAGGAAGTGCACGCTGGGACGTGTTAGTTCGAACCAAAGCCCTTGGTTCGAACTAACGTCACTCCTCAAAAAATCCCCGAAGAAACAAATTTAAATTAAGTTTTGAATAAACATGTATAAAGTACTTCAAGCAGAATTTTTACTTATAAGTAGAAGTAAAGTGTAAAGCTAGCCATTTTCATTAAAAAAGGTAAATATAGTATAAAATGTGTGTGAGGGGTGGTGTAGTTATTTTGACTCTACACTCTGGCTAGGTAGCATGGGTCACTTAAATTTGCTGTGCATTTCTTGTTTTCAGCACATCGTCATTACCACCACTAGACTGGCCTTTACCAAGTCATTATGGACAATGTGAACTGAAAATAGATGTACAGCCTAAAACTCACCATAGAGCTCATTATGAAACGGAAGGCAGTAGGGGAGCAGTAAAAGCGTCTACTGGAGGACACCCGGTAGTGAAGGTATGTTTTCTTTTAAATTTTTATGTAAACGTTGTGACTATGAATTATAACTAGTTTGTTGTGAAACCTATTATGATCATGACTAGATGGGACATCTCTATAGAATAGTCATTGCTCCAATATAATTTCTTAAATACGTTTTTATAGTTGTAAAATTTATGCAACAATTTGAGCATATAATTAATTCTACTGTATATTATTGGCTTTTCACTCATTTCATCACAGTATACATAATTTCTTCCACTCTATCTGAAAGGAAATTAAACAAAAAAGTAGGATTACAGCAATGTTCCTTCTAATTTTTCCATCCATGGTCAGATTTTTTCCCATACATGTGCAGAATACATTTTATATGCAAAAAGATTTGTGTAAATGTCCACCACCAATCAAAACAAAGTGCACCAGTGGGCACTCTGTTAATCAGTGGATGGGTATCTGAATCTCTCCTAAGTGGCTGTACAGGTGCACATCTTACAGGAAACACTGGATTTCAGCATGATAAATTACATATGCTCAGTAGTATAAAGGTCTAATTTCTGTACCTCTCAAGAATGCTTTAACATCACAAAATTAGCTATACTATTATTAACTGCATGTAATTAGCGGATTATATTGTCTAAAGATCAAGGATACATTTCTGAACTTGAAGGCTGGTGTATGCCAAACATGGTTTTGTTGTATCACAGTTTATATAAAACACTGTGAGGTACTTCAGCTAGATGATTGGTAAGTTTAATTGCAGAGAACTAGAGATCAAAACATTTTAAAATTAAGTTCTTAGACTTGCTTTTTATCTTGTTGTAAACGAATTAGGTTTTGCTGCTGTTGGGGAAGGAAGCTCATACATGCAGCTGCTTGCTCTTCTCTCTCCCACTGGGAAGCTTTACATCAGTGACTTTCAAAAGTGGCTATTAAACAGTGAGAGAGAGCAAAAGAAGACTTACTAAAGTCAACCCTAGTGCAATTCTTTCGGTCTTTTGTGACGGGTGCCTGCCACTTGTTCACTTCTGTTGCCCAAACAATCGAGCAAGTACTTTTAAGACAGCCTGATTCAATCTTTATTCCACAGAAAAATCAGAAATGTAGACTTTGGTTCATGGTCTTCCAGCAGTACATCATGTGGAATCCCATTTTGTCTACCAGTAAATGACGCTGGGGGCTGGTCTAAACTATGAGCTTAATTGATGTATTCAGCATTAGGTTGAATTTGTGTTCTTTCAGAGTTCCTGCAGAGTTCCTTCCGTTGACCTAAAGGGTTTTTTAAATTGATGACTATACTTCATCTGAATGAGTGGAGTAAAGCCAAAGTCGACATGCGTGGCTCGAATTAAGGACAGTGTAAACACTATGTATTGTAATTTGAAGTTACTGGCCTCCAGGTGATGACCCAGGCCTGGTCTACACTAGAAATTTAAGTTAAACTTTAACCACATTGGGTCTATTTTCTAAACAATGAGTCCACACCATCAAGTTCATTCCATTGACTTTAAGGGCCATTAAAACTGATGTTGGTAGTTCTGCTTTACATGAGAAATAACAATAAATTTGAACTGGCATGGTTGACTTTAGCATAGTGCAGACACGGCACTGGGAAAATCAGCATTCTTGGCCTCTGGCAGGCCGTGACCACTCTGGCCAGGACTTGAATTCTTCTGTGGTTCAGGTGGATAGGAAAAGCCCCAGGAAATCTTGAATCCTGAGTGGTAAGCAGACCTCAGAACAGGCAGCAAGCATTCCTGACTGTGAATCCCCAGGGTTGCAAACAAGTACCAGCATGGATTGTGCAGGAGATCCTGGACATCATTGATGGCGTGGAGGGGAGTGGAATTTGTCAGGCAAAACTATAAAGCAGCAAAAGAAATGCTGATATATATGTGAAGATTGCACAGGTGAAGGAAGGATATGCCAGTGATGCCCAGCAGTGCCACATAAACATAAAGCAACTCAGGCAGATGTACCAGAAGACAAAGGTGGCAAATGGATGGTTTGGGTCAGCACCACAAATATACTGATCCTATGAGCAGACCAGTTTCCCAAGCCAGTCCATGCATTTTTCCCAAGAGACTCTTCTGGCACTCTTGGGCAATAGCGTGGAGGACAGTGAGAAGGAGAATGGTCAGCAGGAGAGTGGAGCATCCTATCTCATTGACAGCCAGGATCTTTTTATAACTTTAGAGCCAATTCTCTACTCCCAGGATGTGTTGCTGCCGAGCCCTGATGACAGGGCTCTTATGGTGAGTACACATTTTTAATCATGCTACAAGTGGGTTGAGTCATTTGGGTGTCATCTGTAGTACCTATGCCTACAGTTAGGGCCCCCGAAACAATTTAACATGTCTGGAGATGGAGCAGGAATCCTCCTTGCACATCCTCATAAAGCTCTCCAAGTCACCCTGTTTCAGTCCAATTCCACAAGCCAAATACACAGAGAAGGGTTGGAACATAACTTCATTTACTGGTTTAATTCTTATGCAAATGGAATGAACAGGGACATCCGCTGGCTTGCACACTACCTTACACATTCTAATGATTTAACCAACCTAGAGCCTATAAGCTGTGGTGTCTTGCCTTAATCTTTGTATTCATGCCTGTCAGAGTAAAAAGCAATTTGCATATATATTTGCATTTATATGTAACCACACTTAAATTGTGGCCCTTGGCATGTGCTTAGAGTAACATTGAGGCCCCCGATCTAAAACAATTCTAGGAGTTGTTTAAATGAGTGGTTAATGCACAAGAGCTAGACTTACAAGAAGCGCAGGAGAAGCATCATAGGCGCCTCTGCATCCTACAGCCATCACCATCATTGAAAATAGTCCTCCCTATGGATGAAGCCATTCTCGACTTGGCAGATGCCACCTGGCAGACACCTGCTTCTGTCACTCCCACTAATAACAGAGCAGACAGAAAATACTTTGCCCCTGCCAAAGGGTTGAACAGTCTCTTTTCACATGCCACTCCAAACTTCTTAGTAGTAGACTCAGCCCATCACAGAGCCAAATATCCCAAAATTCAGGACCACTCCTCAGGATAAGGACTGTAAGCGGCTCGACTTATTGGCCAGAAAAGTCTACTCCTTTGCCATTCTACAACTGCGGGTAGCCAATCATTTGTCACTCCTTGCTGACTTTGACTATGCCAACTATTCAAAGTTACAAGACCTCATACATTTCCTCCCAGAACGGAAACGGCCCCAACTTCAGAGCATAATTCAAGAGGGCCACACCATCATCCACACAAGACTACAAGTGGCTTTAGATGTCACAGACTCTGCCGCCTACAGCACTGCCATAGCAGTTGTAATGCACAGAGTCTCGTGGTGCCATGCCTCAGGGATACTCAGGGAGTTGCAACTCAAAGTGGAGGATTTACCCTTTGATAAAACCAATTTATGTGCTAGCAAAACTGATGAGATCCTGCACTCCATGAAAGATTCTTGAATTGACCCTAATAACATTGGGTATGTACACACCGCAGAACAAACATTGTCCTAGGCCTAGGGAGTCATACAGCAGAAGTGAAGACCACACCACCACCAGCAGTCTAATCTGAACGAACCATCTACATCGAAACAGCACATTTGAAGTTTTGCTCGAGAGTTCGAGCAACATCCCTGCCATACCGTCGCCTGCACCATCCAGTCTCCAATTTATCCACTGGCTACAGTCTTTTTCCCAGCAATGGACCAAAATAACATCCGACTGGTGGGTTTTAGAGATCATTAGTCTGGGCTACTGCATTCCTTTTACATCCATTCCCTCTTCCCCTTCCCGTCCCTCTTCAGCAACCACCTGACATGGCAACCTCCTAAAACTAGAGGTTCCACATCTACAAATTGGGGCCATAAAACCAATTCCACCAGCCTATCAAGAAAGAGGGTTTTGCTCAAAATACTTCCTCACACAGAAGAAGACCAGGGAGTGGGATGGGATGGAGGAGACCCATACTAGATCTCAGAAAGCTCAACAAGTACGTAACATACCGAAGGTTCAGGATGGTCATGCTAGTAACCATCATACTGGCATTAGACAGAGGAGATTGGTTCTCAGCCCTCGATCTCCAAGATGCTTGCTTCCATATAATGATCCACTATCTACTCCTCTGTAGGACCTTAGTTATGTCCTTGAGAGTCTCACAAAGCTGCCCTTTGAACCACTCACAACATGTTCATGGCTACGTCTCTCAATGACCTTTCTAGTAGCCATCCTTTTTCAGCAGATGGGTAGGAGAAATTGCAACTTTGAGGGCAGATCCCCCTTACACAATCTTCAGCAAAGACAGGGTATCACTCAACCTCACCCAAATTCCTCCCAAAAGTCCCCCCACCTTTCCATATTAATGAAACAATTGACTTACCTGCATTCTGTCCAAAGCTGCATGACAACGCCATCTGTCAAGGCTGTTCCCCACTCTGGTATGATGAATGCAGAGGTGGGGGTCCACAAGAGCACTCCAAAACCTTGCCTCTACAGGCTCTGGTATAAAAAGTTCCTCCTGAAGTCCTAATACCCAGTTTTGGTGAATCCGCTGCCACTCTCAAGTGCTTTTGAATCCACAAACGGGTAGACACTTGAAACCAACCCCAGGATACCACAAGCTTTTTTCCCCAGAAGAGCTTGAAAAAAGCAAGAGAAAAACAAGGTGCTGTCTGTGGTAGCGGACCCTGCATTCAGTCACTCCTGAGAAGACCCCTGCCACACTGCACTGCTGTCACTGTATTAGGGACTCCAGCGCAGAGTGCCAGGTGGGAACTGGCGAGGGGAGCCAGTATAAAAACCAGCTCCCCTTGTGGACTGGCTTCCTATTGCTCTGCACTGCTGCCTGTGAAAAAAAGGCAGCAGTGGGGGGTGGCAGCAGCCCCTGCCTAAGGGGTGGTCTGAATTCCTGCACTCAGCGAGAGCCGGAACTGAGCTGGGCTGCCTGCCCGCCCAGCTCCTAATACACTTTAAATACAGAGCCACAGTGAGTGTAGGTCCTGGGCCCATTGCAAGCCAGGACTG